TCTCTATAGACAAGTCCCCCACTGCCGCTTCTTTTAAGATTTTCACTTTGTCTTTGGTCTTCTGAACTCTGAATATGATATGGGCAGACACAGATTTTATGATATATTTCTGGCTTGGTGTTCTCTAACCCTCATAGATATGTAGTTTTGGATCTGCTATTATTTTCAGAAAAACATCTTCTCTGATCTTCAAATATTTCTTCCTTCTTTCGGTATTTCAATTACATTAATATCACACTTTTTGAAATTGTTCCACAGTTCTTAGACATTGTGTTCTGTTTTTTAAAATTATCTTTTCTCTTTGAATTTCAGCGTGGAAAGTCTCCTGACAAATTTTCAGGCTCACTGATGATTTCCTTGGCTATGCCCACTGTAATGATCATTCCATCAAGGCATTCTTCATTTCTGTTACAGTATTTTGAGTTCTAGCATTAGCTTTGACTTCTTCCTAAAGTTTTCAGTTATCTATTATCTGCTTGCTCTAACCATCTATTTTTGCATGTTATCTGCTTTTTCTAGCACAGCCAGACTCTATTAGTTTAAATTTTCTATTGGATAATTCCAAAATCTGTATCATATCAAAGTCTGATTCTGATATTTGTTTTGTATCTTCTGTGTGTTTTTCTTGCCTTTTAGCATGCTGTGTAATTTCTTGTTGAGAGCTAGACATTATGTATCAGGCAAAAGGGTCTGAGGTAAATAGGTCTTTAGTTTGAAGTTTTATGTTCACCTGGCTAGGGGTTGGGCTATGTTATATTTGCTGTAAATTGAGGTGCCATAGGCTTCAAATTCCTTGAGGGTCCTTATTTTTAGCTCTCCTCTTGTCTTCGGGCTTGTCTAAGAACTTTTTTTTTTAAAGATTTTAAAAATTTATTTGACAGAGAGAGACACAGTGAGAGAGGGAACACAAGCAGGGGGAGTGGGAGAGGGAGAAGCCGGCTTCCCGCTGAGCAGGGAGCCCAGTGAGGGGCTTGATCCCAGGACCGTGGGATCATGACCTGAACCGAAGGCAGACACTTAACGACTGAGCCACCCAGGTGCCCCTTGTCTAAGAACTTCTTAGAGTCTGTACCTTACAGCTACTATAGCTGCAGTCCATTTTTATTACACTGGATCCCCAATGATGTGTTGATTAGGTATGGGAGAGGGAAAGGTTTCCATAACCTTATGATTAAATCCAGTGATTTAGTGAGCCTATGTCCACGGGCTGTGACTTTCACAAAGGTTTCTTATCTTCCTGTCCCCTTAGGTGAGACAGGAAGGCAAGACAGGATTAGTCAGGGATAAATGCCCTTCCCCTAGTGGGATAAGGTTCTGTTAAGGTCTTTCCCTTTGGAGAGTAAGCCTCTATCAGAGAGAATGCTCTGGGAGTATTTCAGAATTGCTCCTTCTACCCTCCCACTTCCAGAGACATGTGGGGATTTTTCTTGACTCGTCATCATGAGAATGGTGGGTTACCTGGAAGTTAAGCCTATGAGATGGGGGGATCCATCGAAGACTGAAGGTGTCCAGGAATTTTTCCCTTTAACACACAGCCTCTAACATTTTATCAAAATTACCATTAAATGTTTCTATCAGTTTATGACTCCAGTGGCTTCTACTTCAGATTTGTTAATCTCAGCTATGGTTTTCTGTATGTGCCTGTTCCTTTAGATTTGGGGGAGTCCATTTGCCCCACATGTCTACTTTTTGATTAGTGTAAGGAAAATCATTGATATTTTTAGTTCGTTCAGGTTTTTTTTGTTGTGGGAAAGATGGGGGTAGCACTTTTGAAGCTCTTTACATGTTGGAGATGAGACTGGAAGAAACAGGTTCTTGTCTTAAAGAAAAAGAAAGGTCTCCTTTAAATGTTTAGTCCCTTCTAATTACTATATTTTTATTTTTCAGTTGTTTCTTTGCCCTAATACTGAATTTCATAAAGATCTTTATACATTCCTATTTTGACAAATGAAGGCCAGGCCATCCTTAGAAAAAGCAACATGACTCTGTGGGTTTGTGAGGACATTTGCTTAGAGGAAGTTCATAGCTATCCTTGAAAAGCCAGCACATCTGAATTGGAAAGGGCTCCAATTGGAGAGACCTCAGAAAGTGGTGTTATGGACCAGAAAATATGCATTATAACTTAAAAAAATTAGCCTTATATCTTCAATGATTATATTTTCTGAACAAAGACTTAGAGCATGTAGTGAATTAACCAAGTAATAGTGTACTTGCCCAACATTCAAAAGCTCATGTGCCTATAGGGACCAAGCAGGTAACATTAATATGTTACTCAAGTAGTAACAGGAGCATGGGAAGGATGGGCGGAACTAACAGACAAAGCTGCCACATTAACACATTTAAATAAAAAAAAAAAATCAGCCAAAGAAAAAATGCATCTGTGTGCTCTGTGCAGAATAATGACTACTTGCTTTTCATTTATTATGTATGTGGCTGATTTATTTATTGGGTTTCTACCATGTAGGCTCAATAAAATGAAATATTTTAGATGAGAAGATAGAAAATTTCATCTATGACAAAGGGATTATTATGCTTTAAGGAAGGAAAGTCGATTTTTCTGTTTTCTTGTATGTGCAGGAATTTGCTACTGAACTGAATTTCTTACATGTGTAGGCAAGAAGCTTAAAAGAAATGCCATCCTAAAGTATCTGCTCGGTGGCCAGACCCACTTTAAGAATGTCTATTGTAAACTTCTTGTCACATTCTTCAATATCTCCTGGAGGCAGCTCAATGCAGTTCCAGGAGCAAGAAAAGAATTTTAGAAAACAATTGGACAATATAATAATTAGAATTAAATTATTCATCATGTTTGACCTGGTAATTCTACTTTGAAATTTATCCTTAGGAGCTAATACAAAATACAAACCAATATTTATGCAAAGAGCTTCCTTGTCTATACAACAAAGGATATGCACAAACAAAAACAATCTGAATATAAGTAGATAAAGCTATGAAATATTAAAATTATATATAATTTGATGCAGACATTAAAATTATGTGGGCCAAGAAACAACAACACAGGTAAATACACAAGTATATTTAAAAAATGAAAATGTATTTGTGGCACTCTAAAACAAGATGTAAAAAAAAGGAAAAACATACCAACGTTTAAACACTATTACTCTTGGTTCAGTGGCATCTGAATCCTGTCTTATTTTCTATCAATTTCTTATTCTCTTGTCTATACTTTTTATCATAAACAGAAAGTACTTGCATGATTAGGGGAAAAAAAACAAACCCTAAATACCAATTCTGGCATATTTCCTCAAAAGATTTCATAACCCCCAGGTATTTTCCATGATACTTTTATTTATTTTTTTAATATTTTTTTAAATGTTTTATTTATTTATTCATGAAAGTCAGAGAGAGAGAGAGACACAGAGGCAGAGGGAGAAGCAGGCTCCCTGCCGAGCAGGGAGCCCGATGCGGGACTCGATCCCAGGACCCTGGGATCGTGACCTGAGCCGAAGGCAGACGCTTAACCATCTGAGCCACCCAGGCGCCCCCATGATACTTTTAAAAACTTGCTAAAAATTAACAAAATTACACCATTAAATAATTGAAATTCCTTTTCACTAAAATGGAAAGCAAAATATTTATTTAAAGGACTGTCACTTGGAGGAAAAGCCACAATCTGGAAATTGCAGGGACGAGGGCTACTCTAGGCGCAGAACTTAGCAATGGCAGTCAGGGAGGGACACTCTAGAACAGGGGTGCTCCAAGTCTGGGAGGCTGGAAGTGGCACTGTAGAGAGAGACCACCTGCTTCTCCAGCCTGGAGGCTCAGGGTGAGGATTCTATCCCTATCTGTGTTCTCTGGGGAAGGATGTGGCTTACCGTGGTCCAGTCTCCCTGTGGCCAGAGAGTGAGTTTGGTGACGTCTATGACCGGCAGTGATACTATTGAAAGGACAGCAGAGTGGGAGGCTTCTATGTGAGAAGCCATGAATACACACTTCAGCAAAGTAAAAATGCAGTAAGAACCGGGGAGAAACCAACCAGTTCACTCTCAAGGGGAGAGGGCTTGGTGATGCCAAGGGTGAGGTTAAATAGAACTGATAAAACTCTAGCTTCTGCATCAGGAAAAGAGATGGGACTGGGGGAGGGGGGCAGGCACCTCAGTAGTTCTACTCAGGAGGGCATTACGCTGCCCTGTGTTTCCTGGACCTTAATTTCCCAAGACCCTGAGAGCATTTCAGGAAACTCACATCCAGTGTTACTTTTCCCTTTAATCCCTGAGAAGTTTCATACAACACTAATAGATTTCCCAGTGGTGAGGTCAATTAAATTCTCGCCTATGACTTGAAATACATTTTATATTTTCCACTTATCCACATACATTTCACAGTGATAATTTTAGGGATACATAATGTTGTTTTTTTTTTAAAGATTTTATTTATTTATTTGACAGAGAGAGACAGCGAGAGCAGGAACACAAGCAGGGGGAGTGGGAGAGAGAGGAGCAGGCTTCCCGCTGAGGAGGGAGCCTGATGTGGGGCTCGATCCCAGGACCCTGGGATCATGACCTGAGCCGAAGGCAGACGCTTAACGACTGAGCCACCCAGGCGCTCCAGGGATACATAATGTTCTATCAGGTTGATGTAACATTATATATGTATACATATATAATATATACATATACATATATATGTGTGTGCAGATGTGTGTGTGTGTGTGTATATATATATATATATATATATAGACAATCCTGATGTTGGGCATTTACGTTGTTTTTCAATATTTTATCTTTAGAAATAATTACTAAAATTTTTCTTTCACCTGTGGAACACTTCCCATTTGATAAATTCCTAGGAATGGAAATGCAGGATTTCTCTTGATTTGATTTGTAGCTCACTCTCCAAAATGGTTCTAATAATTCATAAAGCTATCATAATAAGGATGTTCTAATTTTGCTCCAACCATGTCCACTATCTTAGCTCAAGAGATGCCATAACAAAATATCACAACTGAGTGGCTTAAACAACAGAAATTTATTTCTTACAGTTCTGGAAGTCCAAGGTCAGGGTGCCAGCAGGGTTGGTGTCTGGTGAGGGCTCTCTCTTCGGGTTGCAGATTGCCTCCTCACTGTGTCCTTATATGGCCTTTCTTAGGTGAATGTGGGGGAGATGGAGAAATAGAAAAGACCTGGGGTGAGTAAGCAAACTCTCAGGTGTCTCCTCTTATAGGAGCACTAATCCCATCTTGAGGGCCCCATATGGAAGATACAAGTGACCTCTACTCATCTTAGGTTTTCAGCTGGGACTCTAACAAATAACAAGAGAAAACCAGTTTATTAGCAGATGCAGTGCACATGACATGGGAGAAACCAAAACCAAAAATGACTTAAAATGATGATTTAGAATTACAGCTTATATAGTACCTTCAACAAAGAGCAATAAATCTGTAGAGAAATGACAGAAAAAGGAAAGTAGTTGTAGGCTTCCAAGGGTGGCAACTTGTGGGAAAGTCAATGTATGCAATGAAAGTAATGGAATTCAGGTTTGTTTACAGACTCTTATGAGTCCATCTCTGGGCTGATAAGACTGAGTCTTCAGTAAAAGGAGAATTTATATCTTTCCTTCAGACAGAAAAGGAGGAGTTTTTTCTGCATTAGCTGTTTCTTACCTGCTTTCAGCATAAAATATTTTTTATGTCCAAGAGGTGTATCTGGGGTGACATATTCTGGTTTCCCTCTACCCCATTTTCATGACCTCATCTAAAGCTAATTATCTCCCAAAGGCTCTATCTCTGAATACTGTCACTCTGGGGATGAGTGTTTCCGCCTACAAATTTTGGGGGGACACAATTCAATCCATAGCATCCCCTTTAGGCATTGTGGTTTCTTATTTTTTGATGAATTTTGTGCATATGAAATGATGCCACATGAAGACTCTCTGAAGCTTTATCTTCATTCCTTCCCACCATCTTCCTCTCAGTAAATTTGCCTTTACTTACAATCACTTGGCAAATATCTATTGAGCTTTTATTAAGAATATTTTGTAGAGATGGAGAATCAACCATGAATGAATGAAGTCCCTCCCCTTAAGGAGCTTATATTGGAGAATGGTAGAAAAATATACAAGCCAAAAAAGAAGATAATATCAGACAGTGGTTAAGTGCTACTAAGAAAAATGAAAGCGGAGTGAACATAAATTATGCTAATGGGAAGTTCTAAGTCCTCATTTAAGAGCTCTGGAAGAGTTGGGGAGGACAAGGCAAGACATTAATAAGTCAAGGTTCAAGGTAAAGTTATTATTAAGATGGCTATTATTAACGAGGCTGTTCTGTCCAAGTATTTTGTTATTTTATATAGTTATCAGAAATGTGCTGGAGTTGGATGTAGGATATAAAACACAACTGAAATAGTCATCTGGTTTTGCTTGATCCTTTGACAAAAGGCTTTGTTCATCATTGAGAACTTAATTTTATCCTCAAGTTTCTGAGACTTCGGTAGACCTCTGAACATCTGAAATTTTTTTCCCCAAAGATAAAGATTTTAAGTTGCTTCTCTTCCAACCCATGCTACTGTGGTTTCAGGAGTCCTGCTTCTGAAATCTACTAAGATTTCCAGGGTCCCTTTTAGATACTGGACATGCATATCCTGTTTTAAAAATGGTCATGTTAAAAGAGAGACAACAGGCCCCAAATGGAGTCATTTGTGCAAAGGCCTACATCACAAAGCCAAGACTTAAAACCTAAGTTAATTACAGTCTCAACCTCTCCTAGGAGTGGAGTCTTAAACCAGTGGGTCTATGTATCACTTGGTCAGCACGAATGGGATCACCTGCCTCCATAGGCTCCTCCACCCCCTAAAGGAAGGTGACCTTGCCACAAACAGTTCCCTCTGCTAGTAACTTCCTTGTCCTGCTCCCTTCTGCCTATAAAAGTCTTTCATTTTGTACAGCTCTTCAGAGCTCTTCCCATCTGCTAACTGGGATGTTGCCCAATTCATTAATCATTGAATAAAACCAATAAGAAGATCTTTAACATTTACTCAATTGAATTTTGTTTTTGTTGTTCTTTTCTTTTTTAACAGAGAGGAGAAGAAGGGGTTCATTAGGAGATCCTCTGCAGAGATTGTGTTGTCAGGAAAGTACATCCAAAGAGCTTCCAAATAGACCACAATTAAAAAAAGTGGAAGGAAAGGAAAATTAAGATCACTACCTCACTTTTTTTGTTGTTATTTGGCCAGCCCTGCAAAAAGAATTAGAATGCGTGTTGCATATTTGAAAGCTGCTCAGAGAATGGATCTTAAAAGGTCTTATCACAAGGAAAAGAAACTTTTATAACTATGTATGGCGATGGATGGTAACTAGACTTACTGTGGCAATCATCTCACAATAGAAACACATATGGAATTGTTATGCTGTGCACCTGAAGCTAATATAATAATAATAATTACCTTTTTTTTGTTTTAAAGATTTTATTTATTTATTTGACTGACAGAGAGAGAGCACAAGCAGGGGGAGCGGCAGGCAGAGGGAGAGGGAGAAGCAGGTTTCCCGCTGAGCAGGGAGCCCAACTAGGGGCTTGATCCCAGGACCCTGAGATCATGACCTGAGCCGAAGGTTAACCAACTGAGCCACCCAGGCACCCCATTAATTATCCTTAATTAAAAAAAGAAGAGAGAATGTGTCTAAGAGTAAACAATTTAGTCTGTATTATTTGTTCTTTGCCTCTCCTTTCTTTTATGTCACCATCAGGGTGTTCTTACATTTCCATTTTACGGGGCCAGTTCTGGTGGTGAACAAAGGAAGATAAGGCGGAAATGAGAGTCTGTATGATAGGATATGATTTCAACGGCCTAAACAAGTTAACTTGGACCAAAAAAAAAAAAATACATATAGATATGGATGTGGATAGATATATAAACAAATGGATTACTTTCTCACATCTAGATAGTGTCTGAAATTAATTTAATGTGAGAGAAGGCATTTCAGATCCCCAGGCCACTGAAGAGTAAACTCCAAGTGAGAATATTTACATAGATTATGATTTAATGGTTCCCCCTCTAGACGTCTTTCAATTTAGAAGGAGAAAGGTAAAAATGCAAATAACTTGATGCAAGAACTAATTACTGCTAATGTTATGGGCAGCCTGTGGGCTGCATCAGTCTTCTGTTTGGTTTTGGTAAGCGATTGCAGTACTTACTAATATTATTATTTTAATTTGAATGTCTTACTGGCCAGGACCTGTGCTCTTCAGTTAGTTGTGGATACTGCCTGTCCATTCTTATATTTATATTTGCCTTTTCTACTTTGCTTCTTAGCATTTGAAATTGAGTGTGTGGTGTGTGGCTTTCTTTTGATATAGGGTCTGGGGCTCCTAACAAGAGGAAAAAAAGTAGATACACACGTGCATCTCATACATACCAGGGAGCCCTCACAAGAAACATAAAGACCTAAAGAAATTAGAAACCGAACAGCTTTTCTACTAAGTTGAACAAAGAGTAATAAACTGTGAAACTGTGACCAAAGGGCCCGAGACTAGGGCAGTTGATGGTGGAAAAGAAACTAAGAAGATAAGGGTGAGTTTAACTAATGCTTGTTTGCAGACTCCTCTGGTGCCATCTCTGGGCTGATTACGAGTCTAAAGTCCTCTCCCATAAGAAGACTTTAAATCTGGTCTTTAGGCAGAAAAAAGAGAAGACAGAGCTCTTCCTGCTCTTCCTGCTGCTTCTTAACTGTCTACAGCTCAAAATAATTTGTGAGAGAGGCATATTTTGGGATGACATATTCTGGTTTCTTTCAAGAGCATTGACACAAATTTATTCATTCATCAGGGAGCAAACATTTCTCAAATGCCTACCAAGGGTGCAAGCGTGATGGCTGGCAAAGTGAGGGAGAGAAAGAGAATTCAGATGTGATCCTTGCCTTTAGTAAGCTCAGACCTTCTGGAAGTGTGTTTTAGAGAGAGATGCTGCTTCCCTACTCCTGAGAGTGACCACCTGTTTGGATAATTTGGAACCTATGGGAGGAATCTGGGCATACCTGGCTCAGTTTTACTTTCCTTTTGAAGCAAGCTAACCACAGCATTTCATTATTTAAAACATACTTGGTTCTCACTCCATTTGCAAACCTGAATAGTTTCTACTAACTAATAAAGGTGCTATTTTAGTATTCCAAATTTATGTTTTATCTTATTTCTAAATCTCTAAAAATTATAAATTTATTGAGTTCCTTTTATAACTCTAATAGAGCATAAAAAACAAAATACATTTAAATTATATTTCAAAACAAACTTGAGATGTATCAGGTAAAGGAAACAGATACTGTCATCTGAGAGTTCAAAAAGCCTGTTTTTTGTTGATGACATTAGAAAAGGTGGAATTTGAACTTGGATTTAAGCAGGGGTAATATTTGGCTGGTGAGAGAGGGGAAGCCCATCCAGGTAAGAGCTATAATATGTGCAGAGTCAGGAAATAGAGGGCAGAGAGTAATTTGGATTGGCTGCAGCATATAGCAAGTCAAGGAGAACTGTGAGAAATTGTGTTAGTTGCCAGTGATTGAGAAGCTATAACTTCAGGCTAAAACGATTAGCTTTATTCTGTTGGAATATGAGAATCACTGCAGCAACATTTAAGAGTAGGAAAGTAGCATGACCAAAACCTTATTCATAAAAATAATTTGGGAGTTATAATACATGTCATCTGGGATTCCCTGCTCCCAGGCTAGTTGTGTCCTGACTCCTGAATCGTGATTCTATAGGCCCTTGGGAAACCAAATGCCGCCCAACGATCCCTGAAATTTCTGGGAGCTTATTCCTCATTCTGTACCTTGTCTCCATACTTCCCTAGTCACACATATTGCCTTGTCTGCATCACTAAGGTGTAGCATAGACCATTATTAATCTCCATGAAAAAGGACTGATCAAAAGGCTATGCTTTTCATGAGTTTAGCAACACTTAAGGGAGAACTCACTTAAGCAAATGTTTGAGGCTTTTCACCACACTCTTGCTTCGCTCTCCAACATCTCTTCCCTCCCACATGCTTCAGGGAATCTGTATCTCACAAATCTGTTCAGGCCCTGGAGGATGAAGATGGCATTTCCCCCAAAATTCAAACTTACAGAAAAGTTGAAAGTATAGTACAATGGACATCCA